CAGCATAAAATAAAGCTAGTTTCTATGCATTTTGAAGGGGATGCTCTACAATGGCATTTAGGCTATATGAGGAGTAGAGGACAAATACCACTCCCTACTTGGGATGAATATTTTTAGGTTTTGTATGATAGTTTTGGAGCTGAATACTCTGATCCTATGACTGAGGTTATGAACATCAAGCATACTATGAGTGTAAAGGATTACCAAAAGGCTTTCAACAGTGTCATGACTAGGATGAATCTATCAGTTGAGCATGCTCTTAGTATATTCCCGAATAACCTCAACCCTGAAATCAGCATTAGCAATGCTGTGAGAATTGGAAATCCTACCAGCTTACCACAAGCTTACTACCTGGCTAGGCTGCACGAGGCTAGCTTTATTGCACAAAGCAAGGCAATCAAGGCAGCATTTGCAGTGCATCAACATTCTATTGTAAGGACACCTCAAGGACAAGGCTCCGCTAGGTAGGCAAAGGCTGCTATCCCTACCTACAAACCACCTGTTACCGCCAACTTAGATGGTTTCAGGAAGAGGAGACTTACTCCAGTTGAAATGAATGAGAAAATGGCCCTGGGTCTATGCTTCTTTTCTGATGACATGTTCACACCAGGGTATAAGTCCAGATTAAGTCAAGTTTTTGCTCCTATTTTTTGATATTTTAGCCTGCAAGGCAAAAATACACCTATACTCCATGGAAATAAATGCTGAAGAACTGGAAGATAGTGAAAAGACAGGGGTGGAAGTGGAGGATACTGACGAGCCTCAAGAAGCAGCAAATCCTGTTGAGAATTGTGAGATATCTCTGCAAGCCTTGAATGGCACTAAAGGCTACAGAACTCTCATGATACAAGGTTTCTCTGAGAAAAATACTATTAATGTCCTCATTGATTGTGGCTCCACCCACAACTTCATCAATGAGAAGGCTGCCAAGAGAATAGGTTGCACAATTAGCCAAATACACCCTCAGGATGTATCTGTAGTTGATGGCAGGATCATTCAGTCTTGTTTACCGTGAGAATGGTAACAATAATTAAATTTGTAAATAAAATTTTAAAAATACGTGATCTATTCTCGAGCTAGTTGTTAGAGCAGTTGATGCTAAGAACGTGAAGTTTAACGATAAAAGTGCGATCTAAAACGATGCAGTAACCAAACCGAAGGGGCCTGTTGCCCATATCCACCAAGTTTCAGGACGTGTTTAACATTTAGCTAACAAATTCTCTCATGAGATTTAACTCGAGTTAGAGCTTCAACCTGCATGGGCATAAGTGTACAATACATCAGGTATGTTACTGGTGACCAAGAGTTTAAGACTGAAAAATTGGAGGGCGACAATAAGAGTACTATACCTTTTGCAGGCACCACAACCACAAATTTCAGACATGTCATGAAAGATGCGTAGCCTCCTACTGTGGCAGAGGAAAGCATGCATGGTTAATTTGGCAGCAGGGCTGAAAGCTCTGGAGAAGAGTACCAACTGGTCATAGGCAAGGTCATCAATGTTATTTTTGGTTGGGCTAGCAAGATGAGCAGTTACAGGAGTGTTGATGCCTATTTTGCTTGTTCAGTTAGAAAATGAAAAGGCATGGAATTTAAAGTAAAGGCTTTATTGGTTTCAACATTTGCTTTTTCAAGCCCCAGAAATTGGACATACGAGAAACTACAAATCCTTTGCTTCCATTTTTATTGAGAAATAAAAATCCTTTACATCCCTTGCAACCATACCAAGTAATTTGAAGTTAATGAGAATATTCACCTAAGGGAGTAAATACAGTGACTCCCTTTTCCCCGCTCCTTACCGAAGCAAACATAGCATGAAGGTGGAGTTCATGGGAAGGCAGTTGATGACTTTACGTATAACATAAGATTGATAGAGCTTGTGAGGAAAGGGGATATGAAAGTGGAGCACAAAGTTAGAGAGAATGTCCAACTTCTCTCTAGAAGTCCGGTAGGCCAGTTTTCTCAGATACTGTTTCTTTGTTTTTCTCCAATCATTTTCTTAAAGTAATCGGTTAACAACTGAGCAATTAATGATGGAAAGAACTTATTTCATATCTAGTAAGAAGTCTTAAGACATTTCAGAGAACAGTTATGACAGTGAAGCATGGTATGATTTGGTTGAAAGAACGAAAAACTCCATTTGTCATATGACTGCTAGTAGGAGTGTGTTGTTGTGGTTATGCCAGTTGTTTCACAAAGCTTCAGTCCACCCTGAATTGTGTACAACTTCAGAAGAAGTGTAATCATTCTACCGGAAGTTGTACACAATTCAGGGTGGACTTGGCAACCACATTGTGATAAGTTGGTTATCCAAGAATTAGGAAAACCTTCCTAATTTTTTTGTTGCTTAAATATCCTTAAAAGGAGCCATCTTATGTTGTCATCAGTATCTAATAAAATTTTCTTCTTCTTTTCTCGTTCACGATCGGCAAGTTGCTACAGAGGTTTCAAGTGAGGTTGCCATATGGTATTAGCAAATCTTTTTGATAAGGTAAATTGTATTAATCAAAAGGGAGAGAAACTCCCGTATACAAGAAGTATACCAAAAAGTAGAGAATGTACTTCAGAACATGATTCTCTACAAAGGACGTCCAATCTTCTATACAAATAAGGGCTATATGAGTGCACCAAAAAGCTATCAAAGAAAAAAGACTATTCTTAAGAAGTGAAAAAGGAGACTCAATCCCCTCAAAATCTCTCCTATTCCCCCCCCCCCCCC